AGTTTCATCACAAACGTGATTGATGACTAAATATACTTTAGTGAATGGGAACACAGGCGTATACAACTAAATGGTTTAAAGTAGTAGGGATGCGTGTGGCGTACGATACTGATGGCGATGTAGTATATATCACTATTCAAAAGTGAAGTGCCTAAAGGCAGAAGGTCAGACAGATTAAAGATAGGAAATGAGAACGATAATAGACATTGTTCGATGTACAAACGAAGTAATTATGATGAGTAAACATATTTCCTGAAATCACATAAACAGCGAGACTATCATTTATGTACGAATCATTCAGATTTTGAAGTGAATTTCATTCATCCAGTAGTCTAAATGGCGTTTTCACATTTTAACTGATGTTGATACTTGATGAAAAACCTAGATTCTACACACTAATCCTAACTGAAACTCAGCTGTAAATCATTGATCTAATTCATCACATTGAAGTAACTATCCTCATGTAGTCCTAGATTATTAAATGTACACAGTGAAGGTGAATTCTCATCTTAGAACTTCGACAAGACCATGTGGAAATGATACGTACATATGTATGACATAATTCATGACTGACTGTTTGAAAGCTACGATGATTCATTCAAGGGAAAAGTCTTTCATTTATGATGGCTGATAAATGGAAATACGTTTCGTCGAGAGCACTATTTATGGAAAAACTTTAAGCGGCGCTGAAGTGACACTGGGAATTACCATCTATTAACTGATACCATATGAAGATTATAATCCAGTGTTTGAAATTGGGATTTTGATTTAAATCTAATGGTGAAGGTTGTGGATTAGATTTAGGGCTGTCATCGTAAATTGACCTCAGCTGTGATGTCAAGTAGATAAAGCAATATCGCGCCAAAATCCGAGAACTGTTATTTTAGACATGATGGTTCGTCCATAAATTATAGTCTCGCCGTACGTTTCAATTATGAATGATGTAAATGATTATTATTTTTACAAATCTGCTCTTATGCGTATTTGGAATAGGGTAATTTATGTTAGGGGTATGTACTCGACGGAGTCAAATAACAAAATGTGCTTGTATTTAATCGCCAGTAAACTGAGAAGCTTATTGATTTCGATTTTTGATTAGATTCTCCATGTTTGTTTATTCATTTCCATAGACTACCAATAATTATGATCTATGTCATTCATTTAATTGACACTATTCGTTGTGTAATGTAAATGGATAGATAGACATATTGAAAAATGAGTATGATCTCTACAAACGGTTTACGCTTTGCCGTCATAGAGTACAAGTGTGAATTGACAGAAAACCGTTTTTCCATTATTTATTATTGGAAAATATAAATATTGGTAGAAGTAGGAACCAAATAAATATGCGCCATACAAATCAATTGATTTGTGTGCCGGCTGGGGTACACAGCGGGTGCCCGAATCGATGCACTTGATTTTTATAGGAAGCCACACCTGGAGCGCCGCACACTCATTTTGATCTCGCAATACTGTAAATAACACTCCAAAGGCAAGAAGGTAGTTCGTAGGCCATGTGAGACTTTCGGGAGGGGAAGCAAACTGCCCTCACGCCCGAATATACCAGGGCATTAGGGGTAAGTTGTTATCGAATGATGAATGAGACCGAAATACTTCATTTAATATTACATATAAAACCATATCGTGAAATCAACAGGTTGTGTAAGTTGATCAAGCATTAGTAGAATCGTAAATGAGAACGATGTACCCGTTGGAATCAAACCCATTTTCTACCCTCGGAAGCCAATATAGTGGCCCGCAGAATAGGCGTTCGCGTGCGAGACAGAATGGTAACTCAGATACTGTAATGTTCATGTGTTCCAGTATAAGCTGTATCTAATTCAGAACGAAATCATCTACTCTTCTATGATGATTCAAGTAAAACAATATAATTAGATACAAACCCATATTGAAGAACAATAAAAATGACGAACCACGCGATTGAATATTCACAATTTAGCTTTTCATCACCTCATGTCTAAACATTTCTCAACGCTAAAGCTCTTTATTCGTTTCCAATAGAGTATATCCATATGAAATGATAGAAGTATGTAAAGAATACACGTAATCGAAATGATTCACTGTCTAGTAATGCTCAAAACTGTTCAATCGATGCAATTCCCATTCTCATCCTAATAAGCATTCATGTTTGTGAGTACAATTGAAAATATTACATTCAGAATAATTAACTTTACATAGAAACATGATATGATCATCCCCTCGATGAATGGCGGACGAATGAAAAGCATACGATTAGCTGTGTAGTAGACTGTACTCTCAGGATGGTATGTATAATACGTTATTCATTACCGTAATATGTCATCTATAATAATATTAGCTTAAATATTGTCAAAAAACTTAAAGACTAAATTCTTCAGTGTTACATACCTCATTTTTAACTACTCTAGATTGTGGTAAAGTACATATTTGATCTGAATTTCGTTATTATTTAGTATATGGCAAATGTTAAACATGCTGTGTAAGACCATTCACAGAAGACGTTATGTGAATGTAAATGAAACTTTGTTCATGTACACACGGAAAAGTATATTGATCCATTCAGCTGTACACTACATCGATCTCCAAATTGCAGATGCGACTTTCCTTCTGAATTTCCATGATTGACGTGAAATAGGTCAACGTCGTATTTATTGACGTTTTGTTTATAATGTAAGTCATGTTCGTTCTTTATCTATTTGAAAGAATAGTTTCACAGTATTTGGGCATTGAGTTATTAGATGGCATAATAGAAGTAGAATTTACTGAAATTCAATCGATGAGAGTTTACAAAAGTATATACTGCCTCCTTAATAGGTAATGTTCACTTGTTCAATCGAACATACTCATTTTAGTGATAAATTGAAATATCACATTTTGAACAAGCTGAATATGAACTATTCTGAAAGCGTGTGATAATATTGCAGTTGGTTCACTTGCCTTTTCCACTGTTCCCTTGTTCGTATCGCTTAACCACTTCTCACTCTAAATGTCTGTCTGGATAAACGATTGCTTGAGACAAATTCCTGCAACGTAACCTATGTTTGGCTTCTTATTACCTCTGTCACACAAAAAGAGTTAGCACTATCTCCTTCTCCATATGCTATCACATGGCTATGCGTGTACAGAAAGTGCATGGGAAGTCCTGCTCACTGCCTTCTTACACTACGGGTATTGTTTACGAAATCCAGAAGACAAGAAGTGACCGGTGTTTTAACCGAGTTGGTGGATATAAAGGATTCGCATATAAAAGTTGAAAAATTCTCAATCCAAGCAAATAGTGAACATGGAAAATGGATATTGTGGGAGCAAATGACGCATAAATCAAAAGTTCGCCGCCTTCTTTCATGGAAATACATTTCCTGATTCTGCTTTGCTGAAATGTAGGCCACATTTTTAGGTTGACGTCTCCTGATGTGTCTCCCTAAGAAAACAACCTACTTTGGTCTGGGCATCCGGTTAGTATTTAATGAACAAGAAGAAGATGCATATGAATTCAAAATTACAGAATATCTAATCAAAATCCGAGAACAATGCAGTAAATACCTAATTGTTGAAATGTCAATCCGTTGTCTCAAACTAGGTTGTTAGTTTGAAAATATCACTCCATCGTATCAGATTCCGTTGCGATCCGTCCCTGTTCTTCCTTTCATTTTCTATTGACGTACATTCTATTCCTGACTATCGCTATGCAGTACGTATATCGACATAAGTAGGTCATACCACAGTATCACAATCCAAACACAAATCAAATGACTTATGTGGTACATATCTATTCAGCACCCCCTTTGTACCAATGTTGATGTGTTCTGACAATTCGCATTTCTATTACTCCATGACAACAATCCATAAACTGATTCAACATGTTCGCAAAGATCTTACTCATTCTACAACATATCAATCTATCCAATCAAATCACACAACGCATCAAGTCAATCAAATTCACCACACAAATCATATTTATTGGTAGTCTATGGAAATGATTATAAACAAACATACAGAATCTAATCAACAATCGAATTCAATAAACTTTTCATCTTACTGACGAGACAATACAAGTACCTTATTATAAACACAAGTAAGATCATACTTATAATAATGATACAACTAATGATTTACGAAAAAGTGATCATTCACAAACAAAAGTATTCCAATTAATCTACCGCCATCATTGAATGAATATTCCATTGAACGAATTGTCGTAGCTAACAAACAGTTAGTCATGTATTATGTTATACCTACGTACGTATCATTTGGTCTTGTCGAAGTTCCCAGATGAGAATTCACCTTCACTGTGTACATCTAATAATCTAGGACTACATGAGGATAGTTACTTCAATGTGATGAATTAGATCAATGATTTACAGCTGAGTTTCAGTTAGGATTAGTGTGTAGAATCTAGGTTTTTCATCAAGTATCAACATCAGTTAAAATGTGAAAACGCCATTTAGACTACTGGATGAATGAAATTCACTTCAAAATCCATGATTCATTATCCTAAATCTGATTGATTCCTACATAAATGATAGTCTCGCTGTTTGTTTTGTTTTATGCATTGTGTTTTGTGATTATTGTTCCTTCGTTTGCAAACAAATCATTCTTTTTTCTTCATCTTTTTGATCTTTTTTTTAACCATTAACCTCAAGATATTTCACTTCCGCTAATTGACTCAGGCTACTTATATCTGTAGATATCCGTAGCACACATCACACTCACCCATACTATTTAAACCATTTAGTTGCATACGCCTGTGTTATCATTCACTGCAGTTTATTTTGTCATTAATCACATTTTTGATGAAACTTTCATATGATATTTTCCTGATTATACTAGAAAACAACTTTGAAAATAATGTTTGCCATGGTTGAAAATCTTGAATGGAATTCCATTGAAGGAGTCAACATGATGAACATGATGGAACATGTTGATCGTTTACTGGTTATATCCACATTTACTAAAACAGTAAATTGTGTTTTATCATTAAATGCTTTTCACAATGATAGGTTCTTATATTCGTCGCAATACAAATATCATTAACTTTGTTTGCTCTAATGATCTCTTCAATAATGTAAATTACATAACCAATAATGATAATAATGTTCGTCTTTATTGTAGTGCGACGAAATTTCCATACAGCGATCGATTGATACAGCCCATTATTGCTGGTTCATTGCTGTAAGTTATGTCATTATTTTGTTTTACATATTACTGATAATCTGTTTATTAATTTACCTGAAGTTAAGATGGTGATTGGGTACTTTGATGAAGTGCAAGGTTATCTAATTAGTTACTTATGCCTGTTACCCCTCGTCGAGTAGTATAGGCGGCCCACTAGTTGTTGTTCATTTTGTTCATGTGAGATAGTAGTAACGTGGATATTTCAAAAACGTTCCAATTGATAACTTGTGTATAAGCATTATGAACATTATGAATTCAGTTTGTGATTATCTGTGGAACATCTGATGTGATACTTTCTGCATTCTATTCTCAACGTGATCATCCATACATACTTACGCCTGCGACCCCCAATAAGGCATGATTCGCCGATCAGCATTCTCCAAACTACTCATGAGCTTTCATTTCTAGTTGTACCCGATTGTTATTCATTCCTCTCATGTTTGTCTCCATTTCTCGACGAAATTTGTTCTTTTGGTCTTCCGTGTAAGAACGTCGTGCCCAACATCTACTGCAATCGCTATCCAAACTAGTTCAAACGATCCTCGTTATATTGATAGCTTATCAAATATATCTCCGATCTCCTCGCTTCTGTTTTATGATTTCACTTGGTGGGTACGATTCATTTTAGAAGCGTGTTACTGGTTGAAGCGTTGTCAAACTTCGAATACCTGTGAAATCTTCAATATAAAGGATTCCAAGTGAAAGCTAACCGTGTGGCGCAATTGAATGCTTTCATCTATGTGTGTTTTGTCCACTTCCAGTATTTGTTCCGCCTCCGGAAGAAGGATTTTTGTTTACCACGAGCTTAAAGCGAACGGCATAGAGTTCGAGTCCCAGAGCGAACATCAACTCTGAGATGAAACACATCCAGGTGACAAGTCCTAAATATGACAAAATACTCCACGAACTGGATTCCACTGCTGGTTACTATTCATATTTATTTAGAATACTTCTGAATTTAGGCAAAAATGTGGCAATACACACAGGATTCACAATTGCAAAGAACAAACTGATCAGTCGCTGTCCTAAACATCAGTGGGAAGGTGCATGTCTCAGATGAACTGCATAGTTTCAAATAAATTGGGCGTTGACCAGAAAGTGTATTATTATCAACAATGTCATGCCAATGAGTACAAAATCGTAATTCGGATGTTTCGTTAATTGATTTAAGCTACTACAGAATACGTAAGTAAATGACCTGAATGATATAAAGCAAAGCCCATATAGTATAAAGAATATAGTTCAGAGTATATTCAAAATTATATTAGATTTGAACATGTCATCGTCTGACTATGCTGGCCAAAATGAGCCACTCAGTAATGAGACATGAATAATTAACCAATATTCGGAGATACGGGTGATTCCATAGCTACTCCATTTGTTTGTTCATATAATGTCATTATATAGAAGAATTGTTATAGAATTCTTTCGATCAGATAAGCCTGTTCTCGTAATACATCGAAGCTACTTTTGTAAAAGAACATGAATATAGTGAACTATCATTGTTGGACTGTTTAGTTTAAAGGATTTATAAAGAAGATTAGGATCTAACCACATGCCGTAAAATGACACATTCGAATCGAAATATTGAATTTAACACTGCATATCCATGTAGTGCAAAACATTTCCCGGCTCTGAATCTCTTCAGAAAAGCAACCAGACATTAGATTGTTACAATAGTTTCACCGTACCCACAAAGTACGACAGAACAATCACAAGTTGTATTGAAAATTTACGAAATTAAAGCTTTCTATGGGCCAATTGAAATTCTAAGAAAAGCTTTAATTGGAATAAACGATAAGATCCGGATCACTTCCACACAACATTGTGTCTACAGATTAGGTTGTATCAATTGGGACATGGTCTTTAGTGGATTATCCTACCGTCAGATACCGACTCGAGCGAAGGTACACGTAAGGTAGCCAAAAAGACCTTTTATTATTCTTATAGAATTGGGGGATCAACAAGTTACATCATTAATTGCGATAAATGGTACTTCTAATAATAAATAAATCGAAATTGAAAATATCAAAATATAAATACGGTGTTGTAAAGAAGATAGAGATTTTGATAGAGATCATGTTGATTACGTTGGATTCCCATGGAAAACCTGGAAGGATTGACCATCCGTTTTGTCATATTGTGAAACTCCTCAAAAGTGAGCATCCACGATCTTGTGCGCAGAATTCGAATCCAGAACCTATCGGTCGCGCGCGAAAGCTTAACCTCTAGAACATTGAGCAGGCCGGCGTTCAGCTGTGGTAATATATAAATTCAACCAATCCACGACATTGCGTTTCCATCTTCCGATCTAGTGATGATAGTACCTGTCTCTACTCAACACGGATTAGCTCCACTGGTCACGGATTGTTTAGGGTCAGACATTTTTCTCAACCGCATTGTGATAGATCTTACAAATTCAACTTGATCAAAATAAACTTGACTCTAACATATTCGGACCTAGTATGATTTAATTTGTATTAAGACGAATTCTGAATTGTTACTTCCGTACTATTACAACTTGCGCTAGTTTTGTTTCAATTTTTTATTTGCTCTGAAGAGGTGGCTCTAAGTAAGTAACAAAACACAAGAAGTGCAATTTTCCACTCATTGACATATAACAAAACATGTAGGTTTCGAATTAATAAAATGAACTGGTTACCATGTACACAAATATTTCGTAGTTCAATAATTAACACGGTTGTTATGTGAACAACACCATTGATTCTAACGGAATGCTTCGATTATTGTGTGCGTATTTGTGTCAATAAAACTAACGATTTTCGTCTTCAGATTGTTATTTCTCAGCATGTTGTGAGGTGCTTACTTAAATACGTACACTATTTAATAAGCTATTACCTACCGACAACTTGCATCTCCACATTTCCGTCGCTATTTACTTGAGGTTGTTGATTCATTAGTCATATGAATTGTCCCACCCATCTGTTCGGCCGTTCTTAAGTGTTTAGATTTACTTTGTTTTCCCCGATTTTCACTAGTCATTCTTGTTTACGATAATTTTCCTCAAGATTATTTGTTGTATCATAGAATAGTCTCATGTTTCCTTCTCTTGCTACCTTTGTCCCATACAAAAACCTGATACACTTTACTGAGGACTATCTTGAACTTGTTGTTTCTATGTATGCCCATGAAAGGCCGAATTAAAACATTTTGATGTTGTCGGTTTCGTTGTTCAATGCTTCTTAAGTTTCACTTTCATCTTGACGACCAGCAAGTGATGATCTGATGCTACATCAGCTCTTCTCCTGGTTCTCACATCATCCATTATCCTGCTGAACGTTTTTCGATAAAGATGTGGTTAATTTGGTGCTGTATAGTGTGTTGCGGCACGTTGTGGATTGCTTACTTTTATATGTCCACTATTTATTGTACTTTTACTTAAATAATTACCACCAAGTATGACCTTCTCAATTCTGTCTTTATTTAATCAGTCTTCTCGATCTTCCACATTCTCCGGACAGTCCATGTACCTCTATAATATGCTTTTCTGTTTTTCAGAAGGAACATCTTCCTCTTTACTTTTGAAGGATATCGGTTTTCTTCATGGGACGTCATAATTCTTTCTTGAACTCGTAGTGCAGAATTTCAATATGTTAAATTGTTTAACGTTTTTTAACAAGATAGATTTGTCCACAACACTTCCAGTACTTTTCTTTTACCCGATTTGAAAACGGAAAAAGCCTTGGAAAAGCTAAATTCAAAGTTAAACATGTTATGTTCATCAGTCATTTCTGTTTTCTCTTGTAGTTTAATTGCACTTGTGGTTGTCTTATTGATTGCCGTCGTGAAGAAGATAGATGAGAATTATTTTTTGAATATCGCGCTTGTAGTTGCTTACGTAAGAACTTATGATATTGTTTTTGCATTTAATTTGCAATTGTTTTTGACATAATCCAATATTATCGCATGTATGTAAATGAGTGTAAGAGTACTGCTTGTAAGTAATGAACTATATGGCTGAAGAGGTTTTCGGAAAGTGAAATCCTAACTGATCTACGAGTTGATATTAGTATTCGATCTGTTAAAATCCACATGTCAGAGGATTCACTCATAGGCATAATACCTCTGTAAGTCACATAATGAAGAATAACATGCATACTTGGATAATGTACCGTTTAGTGTTTGAAGAATAAATCAAATGTAATCGTTTTCACCTTCACGATAGAAAGGAAATTTATTTAAAGTGAGACAAAGAGAAAATCAGTTTCTGACTAGTGTTGAGATGTCGGTTGTCACAGGTTCTACTGTTTTGTTTCATGTCAAAATGGAAGTCTGCTGATTGAGTTCGGTTATCAATCTACGATGCTGAAGCATCTATTTGTGGATGTTGGTGAAGATGGAGAATTGTGTTATTTTATTTGTTTCCTCGATGCGGGTGTGATGAAAATGAGTAATGAATGTCTAATGATTTAAAAACGACCATTTCAAAACTTTTATTGTTGGATTTCAATGAGTTGGACGAGAAATCGTGTTCGTTTCTTATGTTATTGAGATCATACAATGTGAGTTACTGAAGCTTTTTACGTTCTTTAAAACACATATTATTGCACTAGACAGTAAATGAAGCCGCATAGGCAAATAAAAGAACTGTGTCGCATCTTTAACTGCCTACTTATATTACTACTCTAATTCTATTTTTACTCTAGTGATTTCGAATCCCATAAAATCTGTTTCTTTTGTTAATTCTTCGTCACTTTTCTGTGACTTTATTCATAACGTCTTATGATAAAAGTTGATTGCACTACGGCTTCCGAAGGCCTAATAAGAGACTAAGAGATTCCATCTAATCAGTACATCATGAAACTACTTAGAATATCAACGTACCATGCTAATTTTGGACAGTGACATATTATGCTTCTTTACTGTTTGGCTGAACTATAATGTTTATATAACAGACGCCAATATCTATAAATACCTATGACTTTTTCTGCGTTTGGATTCTTACTCAACAAATGCTTCTCCAGCGTTCTTCTGTTTTTTGATTTGCTTACTAATTTTTCAGTTGTTTACCGCATTCTACGTTAATCAAGTAGCAATCATAAAACTTAGGTCTTCACTCACATCCTAAATCGTTCTAGTAGCAATTCTCAGCATATACACGATGATCCAGTTGTAAGTTATTCATTCTTTATTCATTTTTTACAAACATCCTGTACAAGTTGAATAACTATGATATTAATGTCCAATCGCGAATGCTTCCGAAGAATACGCTTTCAATACATCAGTAACTAATTGTTTCAATCTTGAATTGGTCATTTACAGAAAAAGAATTCATAACTTTAGAAATCTTTATTATCACAATTCATATACAATATAAACAGACATGAATGAATATATATTCCATTAAAACCATCATATTCTTTTTCATTTTCAGTCTGTTTGCATGGCGACAACATTAGGAGTTTTGACGACACAGTTAAATACTCAAGTCAAACTTTTAGTTTTTGGAATCAGTTTGTTGTTATTCACATGTGCATCATTGTTTGGCGCAGCAATTAAAGCAGATTTATTCGATCACTTAATTATTATTCTAATATTACTTTTGATTATATCTATTGTAATTGTGATAGTGGCGGTTGTACTTAGTGTTTTGAATCAATCCAAGGTATTATTTTTAGCTAAATTATTTGATTCCTTAATTACGTATTCCTACTTGAATCTAGTTTTCTTTTAAAACAATTCGAAACGTTCACCATCAGATTCTACGATAATTCCGAACCCGAAAATGCTCACTTTCGTCTAGTTAGTATGTGACCGACATATCTAAACATTTAAATTCCGATTAAAATCGATCACAAGTACAAAGTATTCCGTTTGCTGAACTTGGCAACTTAGATGTTATGCAGGGTGTTCGGTTGATATGACTCATTTCATGTAGCGCTGTAGTCCTGTACCTCAGATGGGAGACCCATCAACTAGGTTGCGATGTCGACCAGATTATTTGCAAGAGAATGTCGTGCCAACAAAGTGAAATAAACATAAATATTGACATCCTATAAAAGTGTAGGTTTGTTTGGGAAGGGAATACAGATCGAATCCATAGATCATTCTGTTCATTAGAAGGTAAGTTGCAGTGTTTCCCAGTTAAATATCCTGCTACAAAATATGCATCTTTCTAAGATGCCAGGTATTTATCTTTAAAGCATTTAGCATGTTCACTATCCTGTCACATGTAGATATTATGTACACTCTGAAGAATGCATTTTGATCATCGCTCTGTTAAAGCACTGAACGTAAATAAACTACGTGAACACACATTATGGTATAGATACTAGAAAACATAAATGGACATTTGAAGAAACTTATCAGAACCAAAGAGTATCACGACAGCTTCCCAGAGACATCAGAATTCGGAACATTCTGGATTTATTGCCTAGGAAATAAATGTTACATAATTATAAAAAGTACACAAGTTACAGGCATATGTGCTTCATTAGACCCACACCGGCGTAACACTTGTATACGTTTCTGTGACATTAGTGAAAGCACAACATACATTTTATACATGAGTGATTCGTTTGATGGCTTTTTAATCTTAAATTTGTAACAAACTAAATAATTGAGCTGATATAGACCAAACTCCATCGGCAATGAATAAAGAACTGTACCACTGTCCACAAGTTAACATGAAAATCGGTGAATCGGATTTACCTAATCAGATATGAGATAAAAGTGATTGAATAGACTTATTTACGAGAATTACACACTGATTAAATCCAAAATGGTCATGTTTTAGTATTTTTCAGTGTAAATATAATATCGAATTGTCAAAATGAATTTGCTGAATTATCTTCTTGTTTTCAGTATGGAGCGATCGGCGTTTACATAGGCGCACAAATATCATTGTTCATTGTGAGTTAAACTGATACACATTTTTATGGATAAATGATCACTCTGAAGTAGCAGCGAACCATTTATTAAATGAATTCAACATTACCTTACTGAGGACTACTGAAAATGACGTACGTATGATATGGTGCGATGTAAACAGGCATCGATATTCTGAGTGATAAGTCGTTCTGATGAGAAACAGTGATGACAAAAGAGTCCAATGCTTGTCGGGTAGAGACAGATATCTACTTCAGACAATGAACGGAGGGTTGCGCAACCATTCATGGATAGATGGAATTCAGGCATATACATTGTTTAATGCCAAGTCAGTGGACGAAAAGTAAAGCGCTCACGCGCAAGTCCGAAGGTCCTGAGTTCTAATGTCATGCTGGTGACTGTAGATTCACACATCTGAGGTGTCCCATAACTGAACAAAACCACTTTCCAGCACTATCAGATTTTCAATGATGTTTTACCATCAATTGCTTCATTTGTGTAAGCCAGGTGACACTACTCTAGTGCCCAGACCGTAGCATATGTTTTTCTTTGCGGGCAACACTCGGAGGTTTCGACTTAATGGTCTGATACAAAAGGGATTGAAGCAACGTCAAGAGATAGAGTCACATGGCAACCGGTGACCAACGATTGGTTCATATGCCTTTTTTCCTTCAGGATACTGTAGCCCATGTGCACGATTGGTTTGGAATCAGCGTTTTCTAACTCGCCACTAACACGGTTAAGGCACCGGACGTTCGTTCTTTGTCCTCACGATTTCGTATACAACACCATCAATCAGAGAAGATAGTGATTAGCACTTCTCTCACAGTAATTGTATACGCGTGGTCATGAAAGATCATTCAGAGTGAGTGAGAAAGCTGATTCTCGCCATCCTCGGCCATAGATTACGGTATTTGAGGGCGCAATAACTATTAATTTTTTGTTTTTCGATAGTAAACTTGTAAACTGATGTATGGTATTTTATCTACCGATTTTACAGATAACAGTATTTATAAGTTATGTAACTGTTGGCAAATCAAGATATCTTCTCTTTTATCCAAATTATTCATTGGCTGCCATATTATTGTATACCATGTTTTTTTCAATTTTATTAATCAATACGAATATAAATATGATATCAAGAAGACTGAATTTTGTATATTCCAGTTCCAATTCGACATGAACGTTACATGAATATTGAATGGAAATCAAAAAGTCTGTTTCTCGTTTGTTTGTTTGTTTATTTGTATGTGTTTCTTTGCTATTTCTTTGAAGTTGAAATCTGAACTGATGGGGACCTTCTTGTTTTCTGTTATTGTTAACTAAATATCGAATTTATTTAAAATGTGTGTTGGTAAATTGATTGCATATGTGTATTTTGTTCTCATGGACAAGATGATGATTTTGAAAATGATAGAGTGATTTCTGTGACATTTTCCATTTTTAATATAGATTACTCGACTTAGATGAGGATTATACGAAAATAATGATTGTCTCTGGAATAGTTATTATAAAAGAGGTGATTTCTTGAAGTTGTGACGAGTAGCCTTGATCAGTGGAGTGAAATCTATGTGTGCGTAGTGAGAAAGTTGTTTAACTCAGACAATGGATGAAGGGTTAAGCAAAATCAATAATTGATTGAAGAAACGAATGTAGATGACTTTAGTAAGCACCGTATTTTCAATATCGCAGTAAGCGCGCTCGATAAAGGCTGCGTTGTGACGTGCAACTGACGGTCGAGAATAGATCCACGTGAATAGCTTGCCATCCAATGATTCCAGACTTTTAATAGTGGTGTAGTTATCATTCTCTCTCAAATTCAACTATTAAAATCCAGGTATTCAATGGCCTTAATGTATAACTTATTTCAATCCATGATCTTCCTCAACTTTCCATCAACTGATTGACGTAGACAACAGAGATTGAACTCGTCTCACTAGAACTCCATGAACTCCTTTCAGAAGCTTGTCATAAAATTATTCGTAAATATTCATTTTAGAATTTGTCAATTAAATGTAGTACTGAGAAAAATTCTTGTTTCGTCAATGTTGCAAAACCGAAAATTAATATAGTTGACCATAAATTATAAAATAATGATTGATGATATTAAAACAACTTCAACAAAAAGTTTTTGTAACTTATGACCTGGTCCATTCTGAAGACTGTCATTTAGATATCAGCGGTTCGGAAATGACTATCTGAACCAATGTTCATTCTTTTCAGTGTATATCGCCTGCCAGCTACCATATCTCAGATCGTACGCTTTTATAAGTTGCACAGTGAAAGTTCGTAAATTTTTCATAAACTCCACTAAGTAGATTATTGAATTATTGAACACAGTGATGTGTTCAAACAGAAAGAAGACATGTTATTTAAGCAAAGATGGGTAGTTGAATCGAGTATGACGCTTGTTTCATTCTGTTTCGAACGCAAAGTGATGAGTTCTTAATAATTCTTTGCCTGTTTCCAGTCTAATCTTGCTAAGATGCTATGAATATAAATGTTCCATTTAACTCGGTAAATTATTTATATTAATTTCGTCTGCGTGATGGTGATGATTAGAAACGAAAATTATATTTACTTTGTGAGAAATTGTCTCAAGCAGTCGTTTATCCAGACAGACATTAAGAACAAAAAATGGAAAAGCAAAGTGGAGAAGAGTGCAGAGAAGAATGCAAGTGAGCCAACTCAAAAACTATCACATATTTTGTCACAAAATGAGTATTTCCAGTTGTGGAAGTTTCTTTCGATGAACAGTCAATCATTACACATGAAGAAATTAGTATACACACTTTTTAAGCTCTCCTCAATTGAATTTCAAGTAAATTTGTCTTCTTTATTGTTTTCCACCAATTCAACTCCCAAATACTGTGAAAGTGATCGTTAAAATACCAACCATATAATCTCTAAGATCGATGTAATGTACAACTGAATGAATTAAGATGGATGAGTTCACGTTCACGAAAATGCAAACAAGTTACATCACAAAGTTTGTACGTGAACGCAGTCTCATAAACAGTGACACATATCTTATGAATGATCTTACACTGCCAGTTTAATGAATGACATCTACTTAGAATTGAATAATTTAAGATTGAATATCTATTTCACCATGTTCTAGAGGTATTTACGTAGTACTGAACAATTTAGAATTCGTTTTGTTGACAATATCTGTGCTAATATTATTACTTTGGATGATATATTACAATGAAGATGAACGTCTGAGGTATATCATACTGTGATATGTTTGAAGTGATTGGCAGTACACCAAGTCCGCGAATGAAAAAAAACTTTGTCATCGAAGATCAATAAGCTAGATATTCTGATGCGTCCCTGCACCGCTTACTAGAGGGACAAGTCAAAGTTCAAAAGCGGGAATTATTATGCTCACAGCCATGAGCACGAGCAATCACGACAGGTACAAATCAAGCGTGTATCTACAGCATCAAATAACACTTGCAAAACGTTACAGAATTGCATATTAAAAGATACAACGATATGGAAGTCAAAATGAGTGATTCTGGTCCCAAAAAAGAAAATTCGAATTTTTAAAATAAATTTACAAAAATAAGCTATTGAAAAGTTATGGGGATCTAACATCCTCATCATTCTGAAAACGCTACCTACGACATACACAATAGTCAGCACTTCGTTCGTTCCTCATTCATTGAGGGAATGACTACATGTTGTTCATATGTAACCATAATTTAACTGAAAATTATTCTAAATGTAACATCTTCGTTTGTACTCCCATGCTTCAATACGGATTAGGGTGAAAATGGACAATTCAGTAATTGAAGAGCTGTGAGTATTTCTAGTTAGTGAATCGATTCGATTACTTGTATTTTCCACATACATCTATCATTCCATATGTGAATACACCAATGGAAACGGATAACGAGCTTCAATGAGTCGTAAGTTGTTGAGAAAGGTTGAGGCAGAAGATAATAAAAACTGTCTACCACCTATTCCTATAGTTGCACCATTCTATATGCTACGTCCATGTTAAAGCACTTCATGTTCTTGAACATTATTATTGAACTTTCTTTATAGCAGCGAAGCATAAGTCAGTGGATTTTTCTCGAAACAGTAATGTCACATTTTGCTTCAGGTGGAATATTGTGGGTATTACGTCAGAGGGTAAAGAAGCACACTACTGTGCGGTTTTAAATGACGAGCATAGATATTTTCGTATTTTGATTATTCGATCGTGTGGTTTGTCATTTTTATTGTTGTTAAATATTGATTTACATGAAACATCCTAGAAGAGTATATCACTTGATTGTGAATGCGAAACAGGTTATACTAGATTCACAGGAACATTATAGTTTCGATGTTATTTTGAATGTTTGTTAGAAATTTTCGATCAAGAATGATCAACTCACATCTATTTAACAGTTGAATGTATGAGTCAATTGAAGCTAGTCCAGCAAGGAATACCTGGAAGCCACGGACGGCTGATTCTTCGTAGTGTGGAATTACCCATTTGAGTGCATCCACGATCCTGTCTAGTGAGATTCGAACACGGGATCTATCAGTCTTACTTCAATTGTACTCCACAATTGAATAAATTCTTCATATGTTACAGAGAGCTGGAATGTCACGTGCTAGTAAACTTTTTAATTACATAATGAATACAAACAAAGATGTAGATGACAAATCACCTACAAAATAACTATACTGATGAAAATGACACATTTCCTCTAATCCTCATCTAGGTAAACTAAGCAACACTGAATATGTATAACAATTATTAAAATCAATTTGAATATGTTACATTTCAATCGATTAGAATAGGATTAAATCCATTTATTCATTTCGTACACACACACACAATCGTTTTTAATTGATTCCATGATAAACCAATAAGAAAAACGAGAAAGTAATAAATGTTTCAGAGTTTAACTTCATTGTTCTGTCACGTAGATCCGGAATACACAACTTTTAGTCTTGTTCACATTATTGACATCCGTATCGATTGATAATGTTGAGAAGATTACAGTATATAATGGCATGAATGTCAATGAATAATTTGGATATAAGAGAAGATATCTTGATTTGCCAACAGTTAAATAGCTTACAAATATTGTTACCTGTAAAATAAATAAAAACTTCATCAGTTAGAGGATTCTATTCATCTAAATAGTTAAATTTACCAAATAAGATGTGTAGCGTGGTGTCGAGTTGAGCTGGACTATGAACACCGCTACCAGACTACGTGCCAATAGACCAATAAGATTCCGGTAGGCCAAAATCAGAAGGCAGATGCTAGTAGTAGTCGTAATATATTTGTTGACAATCTCGTGGTATCGAAAGAATACCGAGATCGTGCCAAAGGAGTACAGATGCGATCGGCAAGGAAAGGTGCGTGCGTAGTCGAAAACCGCGTAGAAGCAATGGAGTACAAATGGAAGACCAAAATGGCTGTTATTAGCACAGTTAAGCAAACGAGCACAGTAAAACAGTCACTGGTACAATTGGTTATAATAATAATTGTTTTCATTGAACCAATCGCGTTCTGTTGACAAAAGTAGGTCACTACAGGAGCCCCCCGCTAGAAAGGGTTTACACTTTCGATAGTTAGCGGTTTGATTCGTGGGACTGATCGGCACAAGTGCGGTTGTAGGACGAAGGAGATTAGCGGAACAGGAAGTGATCGTTGATCCTCGAGTTGCCAACGAAGGTTTTTTGCACAGAACGGTACCAGGCGAAGTGTGCTGTATTTGTTGGTCGAATTAGCATACCACACCAGAGTGGTTTGTATCCAGGATCTGGTGATTGCGTTCGTAGGGATGCGAACCAGAAAACGCTGCAGACGTAGGACGAAACCACGTTGAGCCAAGAAACCGGACGCGACCATAACGACCAAGTGTATGCCAGGCGAAATCGAGACCAGATAATCGGCTGAGTGCGTTAACTAGAGCGTGGGTGATCAGGCCGGCTTTCGCAAAAGTTGACTGAAGTCGACGTTATCAAACGGGCGATGGTCGGAGGCGTGGGCTCAGGATACAAAAAAAAATCAAA